AATATAACTATATTCATGATTTTTCACATGCATGAATGTTAATTTAAAAGTTTAACCACTTAGTTGGGTGCAGTGTTACATGCCTGTAATCTCAGCTACTCAGGAGGATAAGGCAGGAGAATTGAGAGTTCAAGGTCAACCTAGGTGACTTAGTGAGACTGTCTTTAAAAAACAAAACCAAATTTAATTCTGTGTTTATGCTATCAGGAAAAGCACATGATTTCCATGTTTGGGTAATTTTTGCTTTTGTTATGTTGGTGGGAGAGTCAGGAACTCAAGGACTTTAGTCAGATATATATAATACAGGTATTCATGCTGCATAAATTGCTTAGAACATACTACTTTGTTATGTAAGAGTATCCTTCTTTATGGAAATTTGGATTAGATATTCATCTTATATAATGATCACTTAAAATAATTAAGTACATTTAAATTATGAAGATTGACTATCTTTTCAGGAAAACAGTTACTGTATACAACACAAGAAAACTTAATCTTTGATAATTCTAGTATGGAACAAAGTACACTTTATTTAAATTTTCCATGTAGCATATGTGATTGCTATATGGTGCCCTGTACTTCATAGTATTTATTCTCTATAATAACTGCTCAAGTACAGATAGCTTCTAGATTTAGACTATATTGAATTTAGTTTTAGATATTGTTCATTATTACAATATGCTACCATTAAGTAGTAGCATTAATTATAATATTTTGTTAAAATAAGTATGAGAAAATATGAAGATAGCTTTGCAAACTTGTCTTCTCTGTACTTTTAAATGAAGAAATTAATTACATACCATTACCAGGTGAAGTTTTGGAATAATTGTTCTCTCTTGAATAGATGTAGAGATTTTTGGGGTTTTTTTGTTTGTTTTCAGGGATGAAATAAAATATATTATTTGTACTTAATGTGTTATATGTGTTTTTCTTTAATAGTGTTTATGTATTTGATAAATGTTAAATGATTAAAAGGAATCATAATTTTGGGTTTGTGCTGGGTGTGGTGATACACGCCTGTCATCCCAGCACTCAGGAGGTGGAGGAGGGAGGATCACTGTGAGTTCAAGGCCAGTCTGGGCTGCACAGTGAGTTCAAGGCCAGACTGAACTACATAGTGAGACTTTGTTTCCAATAAAAAGACAAACAGAACAGTGGAGTGAGGGAAAGAGAGGAAGGGGAAGTAAAAAGGATTATGATGTGTTATGTACATGTACTCCCTCCCATTATGAATATAACCATTATGAATATAATAACCATTATGTACTGCAAACATGTACTAATACAAATTAAAAATTTTAAAAATAAGGAAAAAATTATAAAAAACCCAAATGTACACAAAAGTGAGAAGAGTACTTTACACCAAAGTCTCATTACCTACTTTTAGTAGTTCTCAACATTTTGCTATACTTGTTTCAGCATTCACCACCAGTCATCCCTTATTTTTTCTAATTTGTTTACTTTTTGCTGAAGTGTTTCAAACCAAATCTTAAATGACATGATATTTGATATTTTATTCCTAACTACTTAATTATGGTTTAAAAGACAAAGAGTATTTCTTGTATAATCACAGAGTCATTTTCATACCATTATGGTGAGATTATACTCAGATTTATGATTTTGTAGGACCTGTTTTAAATTTGTGATTTTTTTGTTTATGTTTTTTTTGGTGGTGGTGCTGGAAATTGAACCCAGCACCTTACATGTGCTAGGCAAGTGGCCGGCCACTTAGTTACATTCCCAGCCCTGAAATAAACATTTCTTGAGACTTAATACAAGCTGGGTCTGTGGCACACATTTATAATCCCAGCTACTTGGGAGTCTGAAGCAGGAGGATTGCAAGTCCCAGGCCAGACTGGGCAATTTAGTGAAATTCTGTCTCAAAATGGAAAAAAGTACTGTGCATGTACCCAGTTGGGGAGCACTTGCCTAGCATGTGTGAGACCCACAGTTCAGTCCCTAGTACTGGAAAAGAACAGGGGATGGGGGAGAGGAGAAAACAATACAAGCCAACAGATTTCCTGAATTATCTAAAAAAATGGAATTTGATGTTTCTTTGTTTTTTGACTTAGACATCAGAAATTCATTTTCTTGAAGTCATGGAGGCCAGAAATCCAACGTCAGAGTGCCAGCATAGTCAGTGCTAGAGAAGGCTCTCTTCCTGGCTTGCAAATGGCCACCCATCTCTCCCTAAGTCCTTACGTGGTTCTGATACTCTTTAAGATCTCATCTTCCATTTACTTTTTTATTTTTTGGTACTGGGGATCAAACTCAGGACGTTGCACTTGCAAGGCAGCCACAATACCACTGAGCTAAATCCCCAGCCAACTTCCATTTACATTTAAGGAAATCAAGTCAATAGTCCTGCAAGGAAAAAAAAAGTAGTCCCAGAGGGCCAGGGATTTAGCTCAGTGGTTCTGGTGCCTGCCTCACAAGCACAAGGTCCTGAGTTCAATCCCTGGTACCAAAAGAAAAAAGTCCCAGAGAATGTTTTGATTTCTTGCTTGTATTTTATTTGCTCCTTTGTCCACTGTAGTTCCCATAGTCTAGAAGTTAGATTGATTAGGTATACCTTCCCCACATCGCACGCTGCGCTATAGAGTGACTGGATGAAGATATCCTTGGGATGAGCCCTCACAAATTGGCCAGAGTTGTTACTGGACTTGGATCCACGCCTCTGAAAGTTCTTCATCTCGTCACGTTGAGATTCTGATGAATTATTGAAATGGAATGACCTCAGTCCTTCTGAATGAATTCTTTGGTGACCTTAAGAGTTCCTGGGATAAAGAGATTATCTTAGTCCAATTTCTGTTGCTGTAAATGAGTAGCAGAGACTGGATAATTTATAACGAATAAGGGCTTGTTAAACTCATAGATCTGGAGTTACAAGGTCAAGGATCCCATCTGGCTAGGACTTTCTTGCTGGTACCACCACCTCCAGTGCAGAGGAGCAGAGACCTGGCCAGCACCGAGGAGGTGAGCCTTTTGGCCTACCATACCACCACTCTCAGCCCAGAGGAGCAGAGGCCCCCAGCGCCCAGGAGCTGAGCCTTTCTGGCTGCCGTACCACCACCCCCAGAAAAGAGCAGAGCCCCACCCAGGGCCAAGGAGGTGAGGTGTACGGACGCCAGCAGCACCCTCCTACCCACCGTTGAAATGAGAAGAAATGTAAACAAGTCTCAAAACAAGACTTCCAGATCACCTAAAGCAACCCCAAAGGGAAACGAGATGGAACAATCTGATATTCAACTACCTGGACTCCCTGAACTGGGAACAAAACAGGATCTGGAAAACATGAAATCAAAAATAATTTCTCAGATAACAGCAGAGATTGTGCCCATAGTACAAGACATGATTAATCTAGAGAAAACACAGATTAAAAAAAATAGAGGATCTGAGGAACATGATGGAATCCCAACATAGGAAACAAATGGAAACCATAGAACAGATGCAGAAAGATTTCCAGGAGATTAAAAACTCCATTGAAAGTTTACAAAGCAGAATGAGCCAATGTGAGGACAAAATTTCAGATACGGAAGATAAGATTGCAATTAGTGGCCAGGAAAAGAAAAATTGCTTTAAAATTGTAAGGATGGGGCCGGGGATTTAGCTCAGTGGTTTCAATGCCTGCTGCGCAAGCGCAAGGACCTGAGTTCGATCCCTGGTACCAAAAAAAATAAAAATAAATAAATAAAATTGTAAGGGACCATGAGAAATCAATCCAGCAGCTGCTAGACGATGCAAAGAAGAATAACGTAAGATTGATTGGAGTCCATGAAGAAACAGGAGAGAGTGCAGATGACATTAAAAAAACTGTTCACAGAAGTAATGGAAGAAAACTTCCCAAGCAGGGGAAAAGAACTTGACATACAGATAAGTGAGGCATATAGGACTCCAACTAGCCTTGATAAAAAAAAAAAAACCTACACATAGGCATATGATAGTTAAGATTCCAGAAACCCAACAGAAGAATAAAATTCTACAAGCAGAGAAAAGAAACAAATCACATACAAAGGAAATCCCAACAGAATGACAGCAGACTTCTCAACGCAAATCCTCAAGGCAAGAAGAGCCTGGAGTGATGTTTTTCAAACCCTAACAGAAAACAGCTTCCAACCTAGAATGATGTACCTTGCAAAACTATCTTTCAGAACTGATGTTGAAATAAGATACTTTCATGACAAAGAGCACTTGAGGAACTTCATGAATACCAAACCAGCACTCCAAAAAATTTTAGACAATATCCTAGGAAAAGACAATGAGGATCACAACCCCAGGAAGCCCAGCAGAATGAATCCATTGGGCATGACAAGAAGTTAAATGCAAAGGGGGAGAATCCAACAGAAAGGAACAGTCA